CCAGTCACATAGATTATGTCCAGACTGCGGTATTCAAAATACCTTGAAAACTGAGAAAGGTGCACCGTTTTTCCATGCTGCACTCTGCTCCTTCCTTGGACAACATGCTCAGCTTCCAATGTTGGTTGGCACCTCAGGGCAGGAACCTCTCCTCCACGTGCACACCTCCTGTCATCCTAGCCACAGAGGAACTGCAGAGCTTGCTTTTACCAAAACTCCTTGGCCGTGCTGTATTATTATCTGCATTTAAATCTACTAAAATCTCTGTTTCTCTTTAGAGATTCAAAGAGGACAATCAAAACAAAATTCCTGGACAAGAGGCTACACCATCTCTTGACTAAGCTTCATCCGCCCCTTCTGGTTCTAGTTATTCTGCTAAACCCAAGCACAAGGTGCTGCCACCTGAGGGGCCTCAGCTCAGGTCAAGCTCGATGCAAGCAGCAGGACTTTCTCCTGACTTCAGGCTGACCCTGTCCCATGCAGCTTGAGGAAGCACCGTCCTGGGTTAGGAACAGACCCCTGACAGACCCCTGACAGACCCCTGACAGACCCCTGTCCTACACAGTGTGAGGAGCGGGCAAACCCTGCTCTGCTCCTCCCACAGAGGACAGCGATGGGAAGGGAGAGCACAGGGAGATGGAGGAACAGGTAAAAGAGGAAACATTAGTTATGAGCAGCACTTGCCTACAGAGAAACAGGCCCAGCTACTGGGGCTGTAACAAATCCACGTCTCATGTAAAGAGCAATGCAACGGGGTGAGCTGGCTGTGTGCGGGAGGTGAAGCAGCAGTCCCACTCCGGGCTGGCTGCTCCACACAGGGTTGCCTGAGCTATACAACGGGCTGCCTGTGCTTGATGCCTTCTAGAAGGAAACACTTTCAAAGCCAGAATGAAAATTTGGTGCAGGTTGTTTCATTCTTTTATTTCTATCATTATCTAATGAGTCATAAGTGCATTCATCCCTACATCTTGAGAAGCTTTTTTTTTTTTATTATGTTTTTTCCTAACCCCCCCCATCATTAAAAATCAATTAGCTTATGGGTAACGTTATACAGATGCTTCTGCAGCTAGGGGCTGACATCTGCAGTGGCAGCAGCCCAGATACTACAGCAATAGATGTCCAAAAATACCCCACAGAGGAAAACAAACTCCCACCCCTAAAGCTGTATTCATTCTGATCAACAAAACAGCCGAACGTCCAGCCTGGGCCCACCTCCCTGTCTCCTGCATAATTAGCACACTTCTCAGAGCAAGCAGAAAAGTTTAATTGTCTTTAATTATTGAGTTCAAGGAGGACTGGGTTTTTTGCTTGATGTCCATATAATTTCCCTGCCAATGACTTCATCATCCCTTTACTGGAAGTGAAGTGTAGCTTCTAAAGCTCTTTTCCATAAAAGACACAAAAGTTTCAGTGAAGGCTGTGCTGCTGGCACAAGCAAAGAGACAAAGGTCCTTGTGTCTACAAGGCTGCTGCTTAGACTGCTGCATGTGTTTTTCTGAGGGGTGGGAGGGAATGAGTTGCAACTAATGTGCAATCAAGAACCATCACAATTACAAATGTAAATGAACAGGCAATTGGCACTGACCTTTGCAGATTGTTAGAGGACTAATTAAGGTATGATCAGACACTCTCTTCCAACAGATTGAGATGCTTCTATACAAGCAAATATCTACGTACCACCCCAGAGACAGCAATGCTTCTCCCTACACACTTGCACACAGCAGCGCGTTAAGTACACACAGACACGCGTTTAACCCTGGCACCTTGTCCCTGCCACAGGGCAAAGGAGGACAGAGTGGGAAGGGGAACAACGCCACTCGACTTACTTGGTCCACGCAGTCCCATTTACGAAAGGCTACAACGAAAGGGCTAAGCTACCTTCTATTGCTGTAACCAACAGCTTTATGTAAAGTTAGAGATGAGGAGACTGGCAAAAGTTGGAAGAATTTAGGGGAGGAAGAAAAGCGGTAAAGGATCTTTCAGCACTTCTAGCAAAGCCACAGAGATCTCCAGCACCAGAGCTCACGATGCTGGCTGCCACGTGCTCACTTCAGCAGGGGGATGCCAGCACCTCGCCGTGGGTCACAGCTTGCCTGGGGCCTCCCTTGGAAGCAGCCGGCTGGAGCCCATCAGCTCCTGGGAACTCGGGACCCCGTGCACCACCACCCTACCTGCCCGCCTTCTCTTAGTGGCAGCAGACCGAAGCACCAGGAGCAGGATGAGGCTGCACAGCACTGCCACAGCCACGCAGCACCTGCACAGAAGGGCACGGAAGGGAGCTGCTCTGCCACGAGCACCGCGCGGGGACATGGCCGAGGTCCTGGGCAGGGCTGGGCCACCATCCGCGAGGAGGTTTTGCAGAAGGCAGATGAGCTGCGAGGAGTAAAATGCTTTAAGAGTCCACAGCAAGATCAGTGGTAACAAAAGGGGACTTGCTGTGGAAAAAATGAAAGCTGCTACTACTGTATTTGTAGGGGAAACGAATTCTAAACAAATATAATTAACTAGAAGGGGAGAGAGGATCACAACGATGATTACCGGGGAGTAATAGCAGGCATCAAAACAAACTACTACACTTGTAATGCAGCAAACCAGGAAAAAAGTCACTCTCCCTGCGGGCCCCATCGACAGCGAAGTGTCACAGATCAGAAAAGCACATTCTACTCAAGGCGTCTGAAACACAGGAAAGATTTTCTCGTGTTATCAGTTATCACAAGAGACTTCTCATCAAAAAGCACTGAGGAAAGTCTGCCTAGCCCACAGAAAAGAGGATAAAAAACATAAGAGGGATACAGTAGAGACAGCATTGTATTATACAAGAGGAATAAGTGCAGAGAGCAAGCTGCAAACAGAGCTGCAGCCCTGCTCTGGGAGGAAGAGCATGTCCTGCTCTGACAGCATCGTGCCCAGCAGGGATGGAGCGAAGCCCCCCCAGCGGCACGCTGCTCTTCTGAGCGGCTGCACTACAAGTGCCGTGTGCGTGGTGGCCAAATACATGGACAAACTTCAAACCGAGACAAAGCAAACCCGTCAGGAAAGCGTAGGTATGTGTCTGCTCCTGCTCTCCATCACTGCGGCAGAATAACCACAGACAGCTAAACAGTAACAGCAGCATTTTATGGCACTGCAAGGTTGAAAGTTGTAGGAAAAAAAAAAAAAAAAAAAAGGAAGGATCAGCCCGTTCGGAGCAGATCTTTTTGTGCTTGAAGAAACTGCACCAAATAAACCCAACCTGAGAAACCAGGTGTGGCCTGCACCAGGCCAGTGTCGCTTGCGGTGAGCAGCGTGCCCAGCGCCTCGGGTGTGCCGGCAGTGACCCCGCTGCATGCCCTGGCCTCTGGCCTCTTCTTGCTGCCTTTTTGTAATTCATTTTTTGTTAAAAAAAAACCAATAGGCTTAAAGGAAATTATCTCAAGCTATTTGAAAAAGTGAAGTATTTTCCAACTGAGATTCCCTTTTAGCGATTAGTTAAGACTTTTAGTTAAAAAAAAACAAAACAACAAACTCTTAAAATGGTTGACAAACTCTTCTCAGCTAGTCAGCTCCTGCAGTCTCAGTATCTGCAATGCCATAATCCTGGCAGACATATGGGGGGGGGGAATTTCTGAAGTAAAAAGCAAGTATAAACAGAGAGTTTCAAGACTGTTCTGTGTGTCACAAAAGGGCACAGATGGTGTCTCCTCTCTATTCCTTTTAAGAAACTCACAAACCATACAACACTGGTCAATATCGTCTTTTGAACTTTTTTTTAAGTGGAGCATCATGGGGAAGCAGAACTGCTGTAAGAGCTGCAGTCCCCTCCAGCACGGTGCAGCAACCACAGCGCGCTGTCCCTGTCCCTGCGACCTTTGGGAACGTGTATTCCATGCACTTAACTCCACTGGGCCTCCGAGTTCATGGACCGGTCACGTTTTTTCCATGAGACTGAATTTAATTCCTAATAAAAAAAACATCCGGGTTCCTTGTCTCTCACTATGGCTATTAATTGCAGAACACCAGTTCCTCAGAACACCTTTCTGTAAGGAAAGGCCACTTCCACAGCGGTCATGGATCAGCCTGGCTGCAGCTCAGAGGAGGGTTGTGATGACTTCCATTTGCATCCCCCCGCTCCAGCACCGCACCCCTGACACACGTGCCAGCCTTCTTGGGCAGGCTCTCCTCCTCCCTCCAAAGAGGACTTTATGAGATCTTGACTTTTCCTAATATAAAAAGCTTCTGAATCCTTTAAATGATTAAACAAAATGTAATTTCTGTTTTGCTCACACTAACTATCCCCATTAGGGCACATTTTCTGTTAGATTCACAGCTCTTTCCCCACTCTATGTCCCTTCTCCATGAGCAAGTGCTTGCCCCATGCCATGTCTCCACTTGTCAAGAGGAGACGCAGAAAACTGGCAAACACATTTGCCACATCTGCCCCTTCTTTCACTCACCCCTCTCAACCAGCTCCTCAAGATCCATTGTGACTGACGGACTAAAAATTAACAAACAAGCTGGGACAGGAATGCAGTGGTGCTCAAGACGTCTCCTGACACAATGAAAAATATCTACAGAAATTATAGTTCACTGATCTGTTAGAATTGTCCGTATGTTGCTGTATCTTTAGACACATAATATTCCACAGTTTAAAACAATAACCTGAACATACACACTTCTATACGTGTCAAACTTGCATTCAACCCTACTGGAACTGAGAAAATTATCTGCGAGTATGAAATGAAGCATGTGTATAACTAGGCAGTGCTTCAGAGCCACCAACCGTAAGCCCAACGATGCAGAGCAATCCCTGACACTGTAGGTACAATGGGGGTCCTGTCATGCTTCAGGACATGTTCCATAACATATTATTAATGAAGCATCAACCCCAAAACAGGGAGGAGAAACAAGAAAGTCGCTGAGCTCGCCAAGAAACTCTGCAGACAGCCTAATGCTGCTAGCCAAATACTGACACACACGAGCTGGGAGCCCAATGCTGTTCGTGCAAGAGAAGCAGCACTCACCAGCATCAGCAGCTGGACACTTGCGGATGGTGAAGATCTGTCCCAAGTCTTCCTCTTCCTCAGGGAGACCCTTCTGGAGGCGTTGCAGCTTACGCAGGCTTTCACTCCGTTGGTGTTTCATGGAGCGTACGTGCTGGATAAGGTTCAGCTTGGCCTTGGTGGAGTAGTTACAGAGGACACAGTGATAATAGCAGCTTTCACCCTCAACCCCGCTCTCATGATGCTGAAGGTGCTGTGAAGAACAAAGTAGAGAGATGTGAATTTCCTGCATCATCTCCAATCTCTCTGGGTTAGTCCACTGCAAATTGCTAAAAGCAACCTGGGAATTAGGTAAGAAACCACTTTTTGAAAAAGAAACAGTGAGATCAAGACTGTTTATTCTCAAGACACCACACACTCTCCCACTTAAAAAGCGAGAAAAACATAACACACTGAATTGAGCACAGGAAAAAAAAATTGAGATAGGCAAGATCATCTTCAGTGAAAGAAGATACAAGATCCAGCATTAACAACTATTCACAACATACACATGGCTAATCCTTTCATATTTAAAGCTTATCCTGGGAGGGCATCCAACCTCACGTCAAACAGATAAAGTTAAATTTAATAAATCCTCGCTGGAAACCAAGAAGGATAAAATAAAAGCAATTTTAGAATGCAATGAACCCGTTACATGGAGAGGTCCTGAAAACAGTGTATGGAAGCGGAGCACGGCGCGTGTGCCATCCTACCACCTGGCGCTCTGCTCCCTGGAGTTTTGGTTTCACTCCCTCAAATCTGGAAGCAAGCAGCAGTCTGGCCCAGAAGACAGTCCTGACAGCAACCCAGACTGAAAAACCAGCGGTAAGCACGCAGCTGGCAGTCACCACAGGAGGTCAGCGCTTGGGAAAACCACTTGTCACCCTCCAAAACTGTGCAATCACAGCCAATGCAGCTAATTTGAGAGTATGACGCCCTGATTGTTTGACAAAAATCTATCAATTGCTTAGCACAGTGGTCCACACTGCTAGGGAAATGAGTTAACTATTTTATGTTACGGATCCCAAGGATGCAGCAATTATTTCTTTAAACCACAAGGAAGAATTCACTGCGTACAGCTACGCTGGCAGCCAGAGCACAGCCGCTCCCCCTCCGTTTGGGTACTGCCACGGCTGTTCCCAGAGATTGCCCGGTAGCATTCCCGACTCCCACCGTAAGGGCTTGTTGCAATGAGAAGAGAAATGGATACCAAAGTCAAACGACATGAAAGACTCCTCAGTGAACGCCGTTTGGTGTTTCCACCACGTACCTGTGTTACAGCTCTGAAATAATCCACGTCAGCTCTTACCGACCAACCTCAAGGCCTTTCCATCTCCTGAGTCACCTCGTGACACTTTCCTCACCACACGCTTCACTCAAGGCACATAGGAAGGGTGATTTGGATATGATCTCCAGGCTTGTCAATCAGAAATATTGTCTACGTGCAGCCAGGACCTTCTGGTAAAATTTCTGAAGCGTATTATCTCAGTTACAGCTAAGATAAGACTAGAGACATATTACCCAGCTCTGTATGCTTAGCTAACACGGAGGAAGGAGAGCCCTCTGAGTCTAGGAATGATTAAAAATAGGATAGGCGCTGATGCTGAGGCTTCTGATTGGAAGTGCGAGGGAAGAGAATAAATGTATTCTAGATCTGGCTAATTAGACTAGCCTCTTTGGGGATCACGATGTATTTAATTAAATTCACTGTAATATTTGAAGAATCCACCAGGGCACTAATCCCACTGGTGCCCTCAAAAGATTTTTTTGCTGTTTTCCCTCATAAGAACTACTTCTTCCTCTTATTTCTATTGTTTGCATGCATTACCCTCTTCCTGAGCCAGAAACAGAGCAACGGCTTAAGACATAAAAAGCCAAGGTTAGAGAGACATAGTCACAAAAGCTACACGACTGGCTCGCCTGGCCCAGCTTAACCAGCCTTGTTCAACTCCGTTAGATCCAATTTCTGCCATAAAATCTCCCCACTGTCCCATCTTCCTGTGGGTTGGAGCTTCTGCTCCAGCAGACACGCTACCTCTGCTTCCTTCCTTCAGCTGAGACACACATCAGGGAAGCCCTAGTCCTACCGACAGCACGTTCAGGCTTGGAAAGTGTGAAAGAGCTCAGGAGCAGCTCTTCTGCACGAAGGCACGGGAAACCCCCAGTGAGCAATTACAGAAAAATCTGGTCACAGGTTCAAGGAAATAGCAAGGACGTGGTCTCTGTGGGAACCAGAAGCACAGCCTGAACTGCTCTGGTTTAAAGGACGATTTTAGGAAAACATTTATTTTAAACAGTTTAATAGATGTGCCTCATTTTCTGTTCTTCTTTTGCTCCCACTCCACGGATATGAGCTACGTCCAGGAGCCTCTTATGCTGGAGTAGTGGAGACACAGAGATGCCAAAACCACCAAGACCACAATGTGTACGGCACATCTACCTCAGGATCTGCGTCTGTCTTTCAGCAGAGGCCAGAGTGAGCCCAGGCACAGGAGGATGTACTAGCTGCAAGCTACTGGAAACGATGCAACACCAGCCAGTAAGCGTACCGGTATGACGGGCAGTAACTGATCTTCCCCATTGTGAGAATTTACCCGTACCTCAGAAAACAAGTTCAAAATATGAAACCAGGACTTCATTAGAAGACAAATCAACTTGAAAATCAAAGAAATACATTGTTCCTAGGAAAACCAACCAACTTCTGTCAGAGAACATTGATTTCTGCAAGTCTGAGTGGGGTCTTCACCCCCCTCCCTTTCAGTGATAGGAAACTTCCAACATCTGGTTCTTCACGCATGGCATGCAAAATATTGATCAGGTTTAGTCAAAGCTCCACTTTAAATCAGAAACAGACAGAAGAACGCTCTGATGGAAACCATACGGCTCACAAGTAAAGCTTCCCAGGGGGACAAGGGCTGTTCATGCACTGACTGCAGCGCACGGCCGTACCGCTCACACCTATCCCGACACACAAATCATACCAAATCCGGCCCATCTTCCATTTGGGAAATGCTCGGATCTCCGTGCAAAGCTGTGCTCTCACGAAGAAGGATTTTACTCAAAGACCCAATTTCTTTCCTTTGCCATAATCTTACCCTGCTTCCCCCCGAACCCTTACCACAGACCTGCCCTGAGAAGTACCAGTTCCTGCGGCCACGCGCCTGCCACCAGCCAGGACGACTCCAGCCCTGCCCCGAGCCAACGCCAGGTTAGCGTTTCGGACCGGCTGAGGAAGTACTGCCCAACCACCCCACCTTCCCTGCTTTCTGGGCTTGGCTTGAAAAAGCAGCATAGTCAGGGGATTTGGACATGAAGACAGCTTAAAGAATCTGCAGAACAAATTATAATTTGTGCTTATCTGGGAGGTGGCTGCACACACACACACAGATCGGAGCGCAGGGCTGCCAACAGCCCTCCAGCACGGGGCTGGCTCAGGAAGCAGAGAAGCAGGAGAAGGGGCAGAGCAGGGCAGGAGACACCTGCGCGAGCACTGGGACGTGTGACCAACGCCGGACTGATGGGCTGCCTCTCCAGCCCCTGCTTGCTAACATCTGGCCTGGAATTGTTTTCTTCTAATAAACAATAGCGTGATAAGTGCTCATAGCATATGACTATGGAAATCCATTTTTTAAACAAACTAAGGAATGATGCTATACTCCATTTTTCTTCCTCTCCACCTCCATCCTCCATATACCCCAAATTTTGTTTACTTTATCATTTATCTTTTCCCCATCTAGCACTTTTTCACCCGCAGTATGTTTCAATGATCGTGGAATTTAATGAAACAGCTGCGTTAATCTGTCTGGCTGCAGGCAGCCCTTCTCACCCCCACGCCATGGATTTGGACTAACTTTTCAGAGATGAGACCATTTTAACGAGAACTAAGGATTCATGTGGCTACCACCACACAAGTAATAAACTCTCCCGCTGGATACCTTTGTAGGTGTTTTCTGTATGTAATGCTTACTACTTTGTCCAATTTCTAAAAACTTTTGTACGCACTTTAAATTTAAAGAGAAGTCAAATCCATGCCTGCTTGAAAGCTCTTCTGCATCAAGTTGATTACAGCCACCATGTAAAGGGCTCAATTCCTACGGCAGCGTGAACACACGAAGCTTGTGAACACACGAACGTGAACTGCATCAGAAATCAAATTGTCTCTTCCCCCCATGTAGCATTCCTCTTACCACTGAACTCGGGACGACAACTATTCTGCTTGCATGGGTAAAATTAATAATGATTTAACAGAATTGACAGATGTGACAGATGCAAGCGAGGAAGATGGAGCCAAAAAACTGCTGAGGGGTGACAAAAGCCGTGGAAGGGAGCACTGCCGTGGACTTGCACCGCTCCTACGTCTTCCTGCAAGCACCCACGGCCAGCCAGCACCAGTCACCAGCCAGGGCCAGCAGCACCCCTGACAAACCTGCAGTAGCCACTAGGCATGCAGAACCAGGGAAGCACAGCAGAGATCACGGGAGATATTGAACCACACGTGGTTCTTGTGAGAGCCACCACTGGCAAACACCCCTGTGTTCAGGAGGAGTTGCTGGAGGCACGCCAGCACTATGAGCAGATCCTCATATCCTCAGCAGAGAAGGATGTTGTGGGACACTCTTCCTCAGGGTAGGCAGACACGGGTAATTAGTAACGGGCTTGGGAGGAAACATGTCATATGCCAGCAAGGACCAAGCCTAGGATGATGCACTCCCAGGGAGCTGGGTGAGAGATGAGCCTTACAGCAGAGCTAGAGGTGAGGCTACAGATCACCAGGGGAAGGGACCAGACCCTGCAGCAGACCTCAGAAGCGTCTCTCGGCCCCCATGTGCCTCTGATCTGCTGCATGAGATAAATCACACATTCCTAGAAGAGAAGGATCTGAATTTTTAATGAAAGTCATGTGGAAGCAGCTGTCTGATCCTGGCCTGTTCCAAGTACTCCATAAAAGTCAGAGCTGACCCATCCGTCTTGCTCTCCTTTCACACCTGCAGGCCTGGCTGGAATTTCCTGGAGCCGAGGGAGGCGCTGGGGAGGCCGCGCGGCAGCGAGCACACATGCTGGCGGGGCGCTGAACAGGCGGGCGAGCACACAACTGCCCCCCGGCCCAGATGTTGTGAAAGGAGGAGAAAATTGATTCTCCATGCAGCAGGTTCAAAAGATGAACTTGTGATCTTTTGTACTTCAACGTCCTGCAATTGTTTACTGCTTCTGAAG